TATATTGACCTACCAATGCTAAGAGGCGCCTGAAACATCTCTGCGAGGGGTACGACGGAAACGCGCAAAGACAGTGATGTCCCCTCCCAAATTTCCCCGACCCTATCTCCCAGCCCTCTGTGTAGCATGATTGTTGTCTGTCGTGGGAGGCATGGGGGGCACACAGGGAAAGCCTACTCCCCTGGCCATGATGGTCAAGAACTACAAGTAAAGGGTTATTCAGGAGATTGTAGAGTTAAACTCACCCCACAGAAACTCCGTACTCTTTGTGAGAAAAACTGGCCCTCTAGTGGTGTTCCTTCTACCACTATTACCATCACCCCTGCTGGGATGGGCTGAGTTGTGAGAAAAAAAAAAAAAAGCCTCTCATGAAGGGGCTGCTCTCTCCTCCAACAACGGAGGCCCAAGCGCTTGCAAGCCGTTAGAGGGTGCTCCTAGTCTTCAGTTAGAAGACACAGGTCGAGGTCTTCCCAAGGGGAGAAGAAATCGGGGTCTTCCCAAAGAGGGAAGACAAAGGTCAAGGCCTTCCAAAAAGGGGGTAAAGTTCCTCTAAGCCAACTATCTTAGATTGTATGTTGAAAAAAAAAATTTAACAAAAGCTTCTCGGGGGATTATGGGTTAAGTTGACCCCAGGAAAACTATAGGCTCAAATTACCTTTGACACATTTGGTCAAACCCCTCTATGAAGCCCCTACTCTGGGAATCTACACAACAGAAGGCCTTTGGAAAAAAAAAAATCAAAAGGGCACTCACTAACGCCCCACTCACTAACGCCCCAGACTAAAACTCCCAGACTCGTGCTGCCATCTCCTCTCCTGTTCCCTTTCTGCCTTTCCAGGCGGCACCAACACTATGCCACAGGATGCACACACAAACCTCTCAGGGTGAATAACATGCTTTCAGATTCAGACACAGCTAGGATTGTGTTCTCTGGTATCTAAGGGATTGAAGTTCAGTGCTTTTGCCCAGACAGCCCAGGTTCAACAAGCACTTTCCAGCTTGTGCCCTACAGAGAATGCAGAAAACCGCAGCTCCACAGCCGGACTGTCAGTAAAATACAGCCACAGCAATTACTCGCAGCGAGGACCTACAGGGGACCCTCCTCCTTCCAAATTAACAATGGGAAGGGGATCAAAAAGTTTAGCCTGTAAATGGTTCACTAACCTACAATACTATCCTCCAATTAGATTTTTTGCAAGAAGCTGGAAAATAGGAAGAAGTCCCCTACATACAAGCTTCTATGCTCCTTTTCCAAGACCCAGACTTATTAGATGGTCCAATGATAAGAGCGCCTTCCTGGGGATCTCAAAATAATCAGGAGTTTTTCTCCTCCCTCTTTACCCTCAGACTCTGAGGGGGTTCAAGTTCTCTGGAGACCTCACTTATTTCACCACTCCCTGAGAAAACTAGATATGCACTCCTAGGGAAGTTACAAATTCCGATGATAGGTAAATATAAATATGTACATGACCTCTGATTTACATTTGTCTCTGTTATATATAATTTAGTGGTTGAATTAAGAATTCTAATTATAATGGAAAGGAAAATGTATGTTTTTGGTAACAGAAGATATGAAGTATAGAAATTTATTTTGAAGGAAATGAAAGGAAAGGTGTTTGTCTTAAAGTTAGTTATTTCGGAATGAGGAAAGTAGTAGGTTTGTAAAGAGAAATCCTGAGAGGAAATTTATGTGATTAAGCTAAACGAGATTGGAGATTTAAATGCCAAAAGTAAACTAACACAATATTAAAGTTGTGTTTTAATGTTTCTTAGACTACTAGTCTGCTACTGATATTATAGAAAAGTTTTCTGATTAGAAAACAAAGATTCTGTGCTTAATCAAAATAATTTCTGTGTTTTATGTAGCCTTAACCAGTTTTCTGAGGCTTTTTTAGAGAATATACTAACATTAGCCCAAAGTCTGAGGGCCAGACACTCCTGGCTATACATTTCACAACTTGGTCTGTGCCCAGTATTCAAAGGAAGCTCAAAAAATTGGGGCCTAGACTCCAATCCCGCAGGCTGCCTTGGTGCTAGAGGTCTTTAAAGTGTCCAATAACTGGGACTAGACAGAGAAGGAAGCAGAGTACAAAAAGGGTGCAAATTTTAGCTGCCATAATACAGGGACCATCTAGAGGTGACCCTAGGCAATAAAAACCTTGCAGGCCTGGAGGTCCTTTATCTTGGTTGGCCATGAGTGGCATTGTTGGGACTGAGGCATAATTAATGTAAAAATTGCAGAAGGAAGGGCACTGGAAAGGTGAACATCCATCTAGCCCTGGGTAGCCGGGGTAGGGTAGACCTCATAAGCCCTCGCCCCACGTAGCAAGTCTCTCATGAAGGGGCTGCTCTTTCCTCCAACAATGGAGGCCCAAGCGCTTGCAAGCTCAGTCCTTAAAAAAATCCACCACGATCACTACAGTGGAGCCTCAGGTCACCCTTGACATGGCTGGGGAAAAAAAACAAAACTGAATTTTCACTAGATACTAGAGCTACCTACTCTCTCCTGACTCATCCCATGGGCCTCTCTCCAATGCTAACTGTACAGTGACAAGAATAAATAGTCAGCCTAATATAATTTGCTCTTCCCATTGTGAGACCAGGACTAGAAATGAAATTCTCTGCCACACATCAGGACTACAGTCCAGTGCAGAAAACACCTTGTCTGGAAAAACTGGGACCTAGCCAAGATGGAGGGGTGGGGGACAGCCCCCTTGCTCTCCACACAAAACAGATTTGTGGGGAACATAAGCCTTAACCATTCGTAGACAACCCGCCTCTATGTCAGGATTTCCTACTAGCAGGCCAACTATCTCCTTGCAATCTGTTGAAAGTCAGCCCTCAAGGCAAACAGAAAGGGCCCCAACCGAAACTCAGGAAGGATAAAGCTATGTTTTCTTTAAAAGTTCCTACTATAACACCAACAGAAAAATGTGTAATATTTACCAAGTGTACTAATGTTTTACCATCTCAGATAATATCTGAAAATATGACCTTGAACTGCATTTCCACTACTTCTATAAGCTACGCAAATGCACGTTAAATTACTCGCTAGATAGTTTATTAACAGAAAAACTATTTATTCTTATGTTAAAACCAAAACCAAGGGAAGAATTTTTCTTACAGCAACAAAGCGATCCATTTCATCTTAAGCTTGTCTCAGATATGAGACCCATCAAAAGAGAGAGGAAATAATACAGGACATCTCTTGCAGAGCTCTTAATCTTTTTAGTAAACCTAGTTAAGTTTTCTTCCTTCCTTTCTTTGGAAAAAGGGCCCTTAGAGTCTGAGGGTGGAAGGAACTTTAGGCCAAAGGTCTTTTTACTCTTTAAAAAATATATTAACCAAGACTGTTTCCCTTTACTTGTTTAATAGGCGAATCAATAATAGAAATTAATAGATATATAATTTAAATAACCAGTTCAAATCTTCTTTTCCTTGTTTAGGGACTGAGGCGGCACTTTAGCAGGAAATCCAAGACCCTGCACAGATTAAGGCAGTAAGGGAAAAAAAAAAAACCCTTCTCAGCAGGTAGCAGATACGGAAGAACATGCTTGCTGCATAGGCCAAAGATCTCTGAGTCAACTGAGAACTCATCCTCCCCTAAAGATGTATTGCTTTGGTGCTTTTTAGAAAATCCCATGCTCTGCAACTGCCTGTAGCCCATAGCAATTTCAGGGGTCTGTAAATCAGCCCATGCCAACAGTAACAATGCTGCTATAAAAGTGAAATTGTCCCTAAGTTCTGCGCCCAGATTTTCAGAGCACTAGCTTTTCTGGGACCACCGGCGTAATAAAACTGAGTTCTCTTTCTCTCTGGGTTACTGCTTGGATTTTCGCTGGTCTGATTTTTGGAGCTTTTGGGATTTTTCCATAACAAGAGTCCAATACACCCTGCAGAAGATGGTGGAAAGGATGGATATATAGCATCTCTCTCTCTCTCTCTCTCTCTCTCTCTCTCTCTCTCTCTCTCTCTCTCTCTCTCTCTCTCTCTCTGCCTCTCTCTTTGTGCTCTTCGTCAGGGCTAAGATGACTTTGAGTCATCCTAAATTCTGATCACAGATGGTGTGAAACTTTAGGACATTTGGTCTCATCAGGACATCACTTGTATTGAGGAGACAATGGGGAGTAATTCGGGGTTTAAAAAAAAAAAAAAGCTGGGCAAGATTGTCATCCGGGGAGTACAGAGCGGCCAGGTAGACAGAGATGTGGTGAGAAAGGCACAGCTACACTGGGATAACCCTGCTTCTTGCCCACTCCTGCCAAGGAAAACACGTAAATGCAGCCAAAAAGGTAAGGGCTATTTCAAACCTGTAACTTAAAATCTGTGAGACTTTGGGCAAGTTATTTTACCTGAGTCTGTCCAATCTGTAATATCTCCCTCCCCTCACCAGCTTCCCATGTGGGGTAAAGTCTATTGTCTTCACCTGGATGGCAGTTATACTGCAAAGGAAAAAAAATCATAGAGCTAAACGTTTACAATTTGTCCATTTTTCTGTATGTATGCTATACTACATACTTCAATTAAAAATCTACAAGAAATAAAAAACATTCCCCTTTGAGGATTGTTGTGAAGATTCAATTAAATCACAAAGTCTAGCACAGTGCCTGGCACATAAATGAGTGGCCAGGGTCCACAGTACGGATGTAGAAACCACCAACTTTCTACCACTTGCAACCTACAGACCCAGGTCTCACTTATTATGGTCAACCTTCGTGCTGCAGCTGCTTTTGAGCCTCAGTTTGCCTGACCAAATAATGTAGACGGCTTAGGTATATTCTGGGAACCCGGACAATCAGACTGTAAGGGAGAATGGACCAAGAGCTGGGCTGGTGAATCCGGAGGGGAAGCCGGCTTCAGAAGAACCTGCAACGTGTTACTTGGGACCCTCCTTCTTCCCGTAGGCGATCGACCGGCCTAGAGCAGCGGCGCGGCGGCGCGCGGTGCAATGTGGACCAGCAGAGGCGCAGCCTGGCCGGGCCCCTGGAGCTCCCCTCGTGATCCGCTGCGCATGCTTTACTCGGCCCGCGGGTTCTCCAAATTCTCGCGGTCAGGTGTATCTAAGCCCCGGGCAATCCTACCACCAGCACTCAGAGGAAGAGATAGCGCAGGATCCCATCTCTAGCTTCCACCCCCAAGTTCCGTCCCAGAGGTAGGGGCGGGGAGGGGAGCGGGGCGGAGCCCACCCTCCACTGCGCGTGAGGCTGAATGCCCGGCCTTCGTCCCTCCCTGGGGAGGAACTTCCTCTTTAACGCCAGACTTAAGCCAGGTCCTTGCCTCCGCCATCACACTGATTTCCCTTGCAGCCCACTAGTCCCGGAAGCTGAGGCTCATTGGATCGTCAGCACAGCGCAAAACCGATCTGAGATCACACAGTCCTGTTCACGCCTTGTGCTCCTGAGGAGGTGAGTTTCTCTTGCTGCCGCCCCATCTTCCTTGCAGAGGAGATGGCCTCGATCCTTCACTACAGAGGTGTCCGCCCTCAGGATAGAGAGCACAGGTTCTTTCCAGCCTACTTAAAGAAGTAAAGGAAGAAGACAGTGACTTTCTCAAATGCCCCTCCAGCGGTCAAGATCTCCCTCATTTGCTGCTGTGTATGTGTGTGTCTGTTTTTAGTGTGTATGTATGGGACAGGCACTCTAGGAGTGATGGGTTCAGAAAGATGACAGGCTTTCCTCAAGGGGTACCCAGATTTGTGGGGAATTCGTATATAAACAGACAACTGCAGCTGTGTGCACAAGCTATCAGTACAAGGGAGGAGCCAGAAGTTTAAAGTGCTAGCTGAAGGATAAGCTGCATTTAGCCAGGCAAGGATTGGGACTTGGGGAAGGAAAGTGTGCAGAGGCCTGGAGTTAAGTAAGTGGTAGCTTGTTCTGCAAAGTTTGAAACATGGAGTCTGAAATGAGGAGGTGGAAAAATGAGAAATGTGGGAGCCACGTTATGAAGTGTATTACTAAGGAGTCTGGACTTTATCCTGGGTAGGAAAGAACTGCTGGAAATGTTTGTACCTGGGAGTCACATGGTCAGATTTAGTGATTGGGTTGTGGAGAGAAGGGCCACACTGGAAGCAGAGCCCTGGTTCAGGTAGGGATGGTCAGAGCTAGAGCAGTGGCAATGGCGGTAAATATTGATGGACTGGAGAAAGATTTAGGAAATATATTTTTAAAAGTTTTCTTCACATACATCAAGAAGTACATGAAGTGTTATTGCACTTTTAGGTCTTACGTTACAGTTTAGGGCAAACAGTATCTTTTTTATATTTATAATTATCGACAGGGTTTTTAACCCAGCCAAATAGACCAAATCTTGGTCACCATTACATATATGAGGTGTTTTTCTATGCTAGCTTCTTAGAAGTACAGAAGATATTCTCCCCTCCCATCACCTGTCAGAACTATAATCTGATAATACTCAGAAATGCCTCAAATGAACTGAAATACTTTATTTATATGGCTTTTTGAAGACTCTGTGGATTATACTGTGAACATGTCTGGTTTGCTCTGTATAGAATTATCCATATACTCTGTCTCACCAGAGCCTTGAGTTTCTGGTGAGACAAGAATATACAGAAAGAAGATCATGGGTTAGGCACTGTGCAAGGTGCTTTAGATGTAGTAGCTGTTCAAAACGGGGAGGAGGGGGTGGGTGCTGAGATTCAAACCAAAGACTGTGCAACCCCAGAGCTTGAACTGTTTCCTTTGTGCTCTGCTGCTGGATTTGACGAATATAATTTTGGACACATTGAGTCTCAGATACTTACAGGACACACTGGTGGAGATATCCAGAGGGAGCTGAATATACAGGACTGAATTGGGAAGAATCAGTGCTTAAGGTGATAACTAGAGACATGAACTTATCTAGAGAGTGAGAAGAGGATTGGGGTCCATAACCCTGAGGGATACCAACATTTATGGGAGGCAGAGGAAAGGTCCATACAGCCAGGGAACACTCATACATACACTGTTTCTTCTTTTTCCTGTGTTCTAGTTTCCTATATCCAGACAGCAACTCCTTTGAGAAGACTGAGTTCCAGTGAAAAGGAAGCTAGGTGCCAACTTGGAAATAATAAAACCCGAGTGCTGATGCTACCCTCTTCCCCCTCTCCCCACACACACCCAGCTTTTTTTCTGTTTTACATCTAGAACCAAGATAACATGAGGTTTCTGAGTGCTGCTGGAGTTCCAGCTAGGCAGTTCCTGACAGGCTAGCTCACAGCCTATTAATGCAAGGCTAGGCTGGAAAGCCATTGTTTCAGGCAGAAGATAAGGAGGTCAAGAGTTGGCAGAGGATGACTTCCTGTCCTAGAGAAAAACATCTGTTTTCTGCTGTGGTCCCCTCCATTCCTTCCTTTGGAGTACTTGTTAGGTCTTGCAGATGTATTAGGTCTTCCCTCTATGACCTTTGTCCTCTAAGCCTCAGCCCTTTTGGTTTTCAGTTTCACCAGCAGAAGAAAGGGAGAAGCAAGCATTAGGTTTCTTCTTTTACCCCTTAGGCCAGGTGTTTGTTCAAGCCTTCAGACCAGGTGTAATTTCAGAGCCCTCCCGTGTGTGCTGGGAAATCTGGGAGAGGCCAACAGATCTCTTGCTTGAGGATAAAGCCCAGGAAACCAGCCACAGATTTGTTGGCAGCTGGCAGGCTCCTTCCTCCTGTGAAGTCCAGACATGCTTCCCTGATCTCCAGGAGGTTTAGTAACAAAAAGTATTGCTCTTCAGCGATCTGTGGTTTGCTGCTCAGATAATTGAACATTTTTACTTCTGTTTTAGGAGAAAAGGGTGGTCTCCATAACCAGGTTATGCTAGACTATAAAATTCTTCCCAAGTCAGAAGTATTAGCAGACAATTTTGGTGTGTCGGTTGTACTCACAATTTGTCTTATTTGCTTTGCCATAATACTCTTGACGTCCTTTCAGAACTTGGAAACAAAGCTTATATTTATGGAGATATCGCAGACAATGAAATAAACCCCAAGAGAGCGATTTTTAAAGTACCGATGAGATCAGGGAAAAGGTTTCTACCTTATTGGCTCTTGGGGTGAGCGTTCTCCTTTCTCTTTCATTTGGATACCTCCTGTTCAGTAAGACTTGCCTCAGTTATCACCTTCAAGAAGCCACCCTAGCCAGGTCACTCTTTTCTTGCAGCACTTGTGCAGATTTGGGTTATATTTCTTATACATGGTTCTGGTATCCTCCGACCCCCTGCCCTCCCATACCAGACCATAAATGTTAGGAGAGCAGGGACTCTATTTGAATATATGTCATCTCTTGGGTCTAGCACAAGGCCTAGAACATTGATTTGCTGGCTGAATATGTATTCTTGGGCCATTTAGAGACTTCTGATTGTCATAGCTCTCTAATGTTGCTGCAATCACCCACCTGCTTTTGTTTAGTTGGAAAATTTTCTTGTATCTGTAATTTACTGCTTTCTGCTGCACTGAAGTCCTGTGTCTAGTTCCCCCTTCCTGGAAAGACTTTCCCCCTTGACTCTTGGGAAAATCCAGCTCATTCTTAAAAGCCATTGTCAGTATTCCCTGGTTCTTGTGCTACAGAAGTCAGTTGCTTTTCTGTAGCACATTATACATGTGTCTGCTGTGAACACATGTATTTTGTAGATCTGTGTTTACCTTCCTTTTTTGTGCCTTTTTCCATTAGTTCCTCCTTGGATCCTTGACTGAGCCACTTCTTAGCTGTTTATTTGTGACAAATAACTTCATCTCGCTGAGTCTGTTTTTTCATCTAAAAAATGATTTACTTCCCTTGTAAGAGTCCACTCAGGCCTAGCAGCATGGCGGATCAGATCTCTGTGAGAGGAACTCAGAAAGACTCTGTAGTTCTGGCAACCTACTAGATGACCTTTGTCTGTCTTATACTGGTTTGAGACCATACATAGTCAAGGCTGGGTACTTCTGGGGAGCCACCCACCCTTGTTTTTGGGAGTATTGGAGCTCTAATGCAGATCTTTAGCCTTGTGGAAGGGCAGCCAGGGTGGTGGTCTGGTTAATGTTTGTTCAGGAGCTACTGGCTTTGGTTGCTCCTCGGCACGCTGTCTCAGCTGCCTTTTTTCACAGTCACATATATACAATTGCGTGTTTGTTTGCCTATCACCTCTGCCCCTGTTACCTCCCATGTTTTACAGGAGTCTTGATCATTGGGTAGCTGAAGCCCAAGCAGCACTGATCCCTACACCATTCTCTTCCCATCTGTTTTTCAGGGGGCAATGGCAGCTTCCTGTGTCCTTCTGTACACTGGGCAGAAGATGCCCCTGATTGGACTGGGCACCTGGAAGAGTCAACCTGGCCAGGTGAGAGATGGGGAAGAGGAGGACAGCTTCTTACACCTTTGCTAGGGAAAAGGCAGTATTTAGAAGAGAGTCCCCGTGTTTTTCCCTAGTAGCACCACCCCTGTACGCCACTTAAAAGTGGGATGAGACTGGAGGGCAGTGGGAAGAAACAAGGGAAGGAGAAGAGAGCCCAGCAGTGTGCCTTTGGCTTTCCCAGCTGATTAGAGGAGGAGCTGAGGGGGTCAGCAGGGCTAAGGGCCATAGGAAGGAACCCTTTCCTAAACTGGCTTTGCACTGAGTGCTGTGGCAAACGTGGGACCCCTCTGTGCCTGGCCCTTTGCTGACCCCTAATATGGCACTTATCACCCTGTGTCATGATCATGTCTTCTGTCCCACACTGGGCTCCTTGAGGACTGGGCCTCTCCCACTAGTGCTCTTTCCAGAAGTAGGCACATAGCACATGTCAGGGTTTGAAGAATAGCTAGGTCAGGTGTATAGACCAAGGATTAGCAAACTTTTTCTTAATGAACCAGATGGTTAATCATTTAGATTTTGCTGAACAAATTGAAAAAGAGGCAATTATGTACTTACGTAACCACCTAAAAATATAAAAATTGTTCTTAGCTCAAGGGCTGAAAAAAACAAGCAACTGCAAGCTGGAGTTTAATGACCCCTGGTGTAGACCCTTCCAGGCTCAGGGAGCCTGGGAATGGAGACCTGCTTTCTTAGAGTTGATACAACTAAAGATTCAGCATCCACCTGGCATGGGGCCTCTCCCCAGTGCTTTGTCTTTTTTCCTGGGAAATCTGAGTCAGAGTTTAGAGAAGGTGGGGGATTAAGTTTGGGAGGGACTCGACAGTGAGAACAGCCTCTTTTCTCTGAGATTTTGGCTAGTGTTTGTGATATGGTTGATATGAGTTCTGCCCTTTTCCTTTTGCTTTCTATCCTACAGCTGCATAGGACGCTGGAGCCAGGATCTTTGTGCTCCAGAAAGGCATTGACACTGCCTGGGACAGGTTCAGGAGCTAAATGAAAGCAGGGGGTGGAGGCCAGAGTCGGGGGATGGAGCAGCACGGGTAGGGTCAGGTGTTGGGGAGTACATCTGGATAGTAGGAGCTGCTCCTAGCTGGGGATTTTGAATAGCAAGGTCCTGGCACCTGGTTCTGCTTCTGATGCCATGTTTCTAGTTGAGTTTTTAGCAAATTAACTGACCCATTCTCCTAGTTGGTACTTGCTTTCTTCTTTTCTGATGAGGAGCTCTGGGCCCAGCTTCCATCTCACTTCTCCACCTTCCTTAATTTTCTTCTTACCTCTTCTGCTCACCTGAGCTTCCAGAGCTTGCTTGGTCTACATCGTTGCCTAAGAGTCTCTCTCTGGGAGGCCTTGGCCCAAGAATTATTTACCTTATATCATATTTCCCTAACCAGCTCCTCAGGACTGGGGACCTGTCTCCATGACCTATATTTCTGTCCTTTGTCAATGTATTTGTCCATCTTCTGTGCATATAACTGGGAACATGTTAGTTTTTTTCCGGGCCCTGCTAAGATTGCTTGGGTAGGAAGGAACCTTGGAGGTTAGTGGGATAGGAACAAAGAGTTTGGGGTCTCTGAAGAGGCTTCTGGTCCCCTAGACTAGAACCATCTTCCATTTTCTCACCTCCACTGCATAGATGACTGCAGTGATATATTCCTGTCCTCTCCCCCATCGGTGACCCTCAGGAGGGCAATTTCTGGCCCAGACCAACAGAGCTGAAACTTATGCTTCTCTCACCTGGCAGGTAAAAGCAGCTGTTAAGTATGCCCTGAGTGTAGGCTACCGCCACATTGACTGTGCTGCTATCTACGGCAATGAGACTGAGATTGGGGAGGCCCTGAAGGAGAACGTGGGACCTGGCAAGGTGAGGACTGGAGCTACGGGGGACAGGTGAGAGATTTTAGAAGCTGGGGCTGGGGCCTGGCTGGAGGGGTCCAGCATCAGCTCCCTTCTAATTCTCACCCAGAGGTGAGGGTGGGTGAGACTGGGTGCCCTTGGCTCTTCTCACTGTGGGCCCTGCCCCCTGCACCAGGCAGTATCTCGGGAGGACCTATTTGTGACTTCCAAGCTGTGGAACACTAAGCACCACCCTGAGGATGTGGAGCCTGCTCTTCGGAAGACACTGGCTGAACTCCAGCTGGAGTATTTGGACCTGTACCTGATGCACTGGCCTTATGCTTTTGAGTGAGCTTTGCCAGTTTCTTCTTCCAGGGAGTCGGGAGTTGGTGGAGGCATGTTAGTAACTTACTAGAAGTCACAGTAGCAGAGCAGGAGAGGAACACTCACCTATATGGCAAATTGAGGAGCTTGCCATGGGAATTAAGCCTTTTCTATTGCAACAGCCAGGAGTTTGGCTACAGAAAAAGGAGTGTAGCTTCACATGATGTGTATCCCAGGGTATGCATGATTGATCCCTCCCGCTCCCTTTATTCATTCAAGAAACATACTAGCTTCTCCTGAAGTAGGCCTTGAGGTTGCAGTAAAGAATAAATTCTAGCAGAGGGTATAAGAGGAGCCTATCAGCTCTGTGCCCTGTGCTAGAAGGAGGCTGCAAGAGCATGCAACTCCCTGAGGCAGGCGTTAAGGAAGACTTCCCAGAGTAGAGGAGATATAATCTGTGTCTAGGAAGTAGAGGAGAGGGAATGGCCATTTCATATAGAGTTAACACCTGGATTATGGTTTAGAAGGGTGAATATCCATGCTTGTTTCTCATTCTTGGCCCTTTGCCGTTCTGGGCTTGGGATATGGGACATGAGAGTGGTTGATGGGCAGGTAAGGCAGAAGCCTGGCATTTGTGCTCACTCTTGGGATGGGGGTCTGTCTTTCACACAGGCGAGGAGACAACCCTTTTCCTAAGAATGCCGATGGGACTATACGCTATGACTCCATCCACTACAAGGAGACCTGGAAGGCTCTGGAGGCACTGGTAGCTAAGGGGCTGGTGCGGGCACTGGGCCTGTCCAACTTTAGCAGTCGGCAGATTGATGATGTGCTCAGTGTGGCCTCTGTGCGCCCAGCTGTCCTGCAGGTGAGCACAGCATCGCAGATCAGTTGGTTTTGGTGGTGGAGTAGGTGTGGGATGTGTGTAAGAGCATGAGTGAACAGATGATGAGTCTACTTCATGGAGATAACTAGCAAGTTGTCAGAAATTTTGGTGCAGGATTTCTCTGCATAGAGAAGGCCATTGAAGTGTGTGAAGAGGATGAAATGGACGGTGGAAACTGCGAGAGAACTGGGCTGAGGGGAAGTGGCGGGGGGTCAGCAGTGAAGGTTTGGTCAGGACAGCATGTCTGAGTGTGGCCAGGTAAGCTAGGTGTGGCCACCCCACGGTGATGGGTTGTTTCTTGGCTCAGGTGGAATGCCACCCATACCTGGCTCAGAATGAGCTGATTGCCCACTGCCAAGCACGTGGCCTGGAGGTGACTGCTTATAGCCCTCTGGGCTCTTCTGATCGTGCATGGCGTGATCCTGATGAGCCTGTTCTCCTTGAGGAGCCAGCGGTCCTGGCCCTGGCTGAAAAGTATGGCCGGTCTCCAGCCCAGATCTTGCTCAGGTGCGGGCAGTCGTGGGGAAAGAAGGTCAGGTCAAGGAGAGGGCTTCTGGATTGGGAGGCAAGGGTTTAGCGGTTCCTTATTCAAGTGCCTGGATGAGGCTGAGAATCTTGCTGTATGATCTGGGCGGGAGGCCACTCTGAAGCATGTTTCCCATTCCAGTGGGGCTCAGGAGCTCCAGAGCTTAAAGAAGGCTGCATGGAAGACAAAACAATGCTTATGAGTACTGATTGCTCTTCTTCATCTATTTCAATCCCACACCGTAGGTGGCAAGTCCAGCGGAAAGTGATCTGCATCCCCAAGAGTGTCACACCTTCACGTATCCTTCAGAACATTCAGGTACTTTGTGACGGATCCTGTCTCCTTTAGCCCATTAGGTCTGAGTCTGGTCCCAACTCTTCCTAAGGAAGCAGTGTTCTAGGACCCCCGACTTCCACTCACAAAGCTGGCTTTCCTGACCCCCACTCCATTTCCCCAGGTTTTTGACTTCACATTTAGCCCAGAAGAGATGAAGCAGCTAGATGCTCTGAATAAAAATTGGAGATACATTGTGCCTATGCTTACGGTGAGTATGTGTCATCCTCCAGAGTCAGGGAATCTGAGATTTGAAGCTGGATTCTGTATGGCTCAGGGATAAGGCATATAGCCTGTGAGTCCCAGTTCTGCTTCTCGATATTTTGTAAGCTAGAACATTAACTTCTCTAAGACTTAGCTTCCTTTGTTTGAAATGATCCCCATTCCTGACATGTAGCAAATTCTCAGAAATAATATAAATGAGAGGAGCCTAGAAGGCATTCTCAACCTTGTTAAAGGGGTTGAGGTTGGGTTGAAGCTTGTTGCACATAGAGAAATAAATAGTTTCTTATTCCAGCTGAGACATCAAACTTTTAGAGGCAGGGTCAGTTGCGTACCGGCTAGAGGTTTGGTGTTGGAATACTGTTGATACTATGGCATTCTCTAAGGCCAGGGCCCTGTTGCTGCCATGTGACATTGTGCTATACATAAGAGAGGTTATTCAGGAAGATTAGGGGAAAGATGCCCTACATTTTTGAAATATTGACTCCTATGTCTGTCTCTTTTTCCAGGTGGATGGGAAGAAGGTCCCGAGAGATGCAGAGCACCCTCTGTATCCCTTTAATGACCCATACTGAAACCACAGCTTCCTGGTTTCCTTATCAACTCCCTAGCTATGAGGTCCTGCCATCCCCATAAAGAGGGAGTTAATAAATCCATTGGCACATCGACACTGCTTGCTTGTCTTATTTGTCTGGTTGGACCTGTGATGGCAAATCTGTTTCCCTTAGGGATGCTGAGTATTACCTGCCCTGAGCCCAGACTTCCTTATCTTTCTTTGTTCTGGAGAAACCAGCATGGAGCCGAGTTCCGTTTCTGCTTTCCTGAATTAGGTATATTAGTGGAGTGGCGCCATCTAGTGGCAGTTCATATCTAGTGGCATGCTGCCCGGGAGTTACGGAGAGTACCAAAAATTGGTCACCTCGGTACTAAAATCAGGGCAGTGAGAGTTCTGTGGTTTTGTGGCACTGCTAGGCCTGCGTCTTGAGTTCCCACTCCATCCCCTACCTTAGTCAGTGTCTAGGTTTAGGAATATGAAGTCAAACAAAGTTGAGCTTACAGAATTAGGAAAGTTGGGAAAATCAAGGGCTTTTTCTCTCAGACACTACAGTCTGTATGCATAAACTACTTTAAGGAGGCAGAGTCAGCCCCAAAGCCTGTCACTCTGTACCTAAGATCCTATCTTATGTACTTAATAGTCCCACCAGAGGCCACTGAGGTTTTAGGATCGTTTATAGAAAAATATCTCTAAACTCCAGTCACACAAACTCATTTTAATTTTCCAGTCAAACCACTGCTCTTCACTGAACAAATATTTATTGGATACTTCTGTGGGTTAGGGACAATACTAGACTCTGGGGATATAGCTATAACTAAGATACATAGGTCTCTACAGTATACTTGAGACAGACTTTAATTGCATAATTAGTTTAATTACAGTTGGAAGAAGTGCTATGAAATAGAAGCCTACTGTTTTAATCAGCTGAGATCTGAAGGATGATTAGAGATTAATTAGTTAAATGAGGTGATAGTGGGAATAGTGTTCTGTGTAAATTGAGTAGCTTGCGGGGGAGAAGCCTTGAAACTGGAAGAAGCTGTTGGAAAAATCTAAAGAAGGCTCGTATAACAAAGTGACTGGAGGTGGAATGACATGAAATAATGTTAGAATTGGTAGGGGCCTGGTGATAGAGGGCCTAGGGGAGTGGGTTAAGATTTGGGTGTTTTAATTCTGAATGCAATGGGAAGCTATGGAAGAGTTTTGAATAGGAATAACATTTGTGTCTTAGAAACAACCCTGGTTTCAGTAGATTAGAGGGATAAAAAGTAGATGGAGGGAGGCATGTTGGAAGTTAGCCTTTTGTCTCTAGTCCTTTCTACCTGGAACATCCTACCCCTTGGCTCACTGTGTGGGCTAACATCTACTAAAATGTTCAGTTTAGCTGTCACTCTAGAAAATCTTTCTTGACCTCACCCTACACAGGTGGCTTACTATGTGATTCTATAGCTCCCTCACACACTTTCATGATCCAAGTTTCCACAGCATGATTAGTTATGAGGTAGTTTGAGTATTATGTGTTTTAGTTTGCTGGGCTGCTGGAACAGTACCACAGAATGGGTGGCTTAAACAAAAGGAATTTATTTTCTCACAGTTCTGTAAGCTAGAAGTTGGAGAGCAAGGTGTTAGCAGAATTAGTTCCTTCTGAGGGATCTGTTCCAGACCTCTCTCCTTAGCTTGTGGATGGCCATCTTTTCCCTGTCTTCGTGTTGTCTTTCCTGTGTATGCATCCAGTAAGGACATCAGTCATACTGGATTAGGGCCCATCCTAATGACCTAATTTTAACTTAATTACCTCTTTAAAGACCCTCTCTCCAAATACAGTTACAATCTAAGGACTGGGGGTTAGGACTTAAGCTTATGAATTTGAGGGGGGAGGACACAATTCAGCCCATATAAAGAAATAAAAGTTAAAACATGAAATTATTCACTGATGAACTGACTACTTAAAAATTGTTCTTGACTGCAACATCTCACCCTTCTTAACATTAGCATTTCTCTATTGACATCTTTGTCTAATCAGTGGACAGTACAGTGCACATTCACTGCAAAGTAAAATTATACATCTTGGAAAAGATGCAGTCATTTATTAAGCAATTAAAGTGATGTTGGGGAACTTCACACATACTCCAAGCCATTGAAAAGTGAAGATCTGACAGTTAAAATCAAAGACTAGGACACTAGACTTCAAAAAAGGATGTTGGAATATCAAAGAATGAAGGAAGGCCTTTGGGAGAACTATGAAGTCCTCAAGTATTTTTGCAAAAAGTATTCTTCATATGATTATTGAAGTATTCTTCATATGACCACAGGCTCAGAATTTAAAAATGAAACTTGTCTTTATAAAACTACATTGCAGAAGGAAGGAATCCCCAGCCAGAAGCTAGCACCACGTTTCAGTTCCATACATTGAAATTCTTTATATACGAGTGCAATTTAAGACCCCATTCAGAAGCTGTCTTGTGGTCTGTAAAGGGGCTGTCTAACACTGAGTAGGAAAAATGAGACCTTGTGACATTCTTCAGGGGAAGATTGTAAACCTTGCACTCAAAGGTTGACAAACTTAAAGGATACTTGAGAAGAGGGACTGATATATTTGAAAGAGGTCACAGTATTTGTTTAGGGAAAAGTAATATATGAAAGAATCTTGATATTTGTCCAAAGTATCAAACATTAATGATCTCTTTTTTGGTTGAGATGTTAACTTTTAGGATGTTTGTGACAAGTTCTGTTGATTTTCATCTTTATATTCCTCTGTGGATCATCCATACTTTGACACCTGTATATTCATAATGCTGTACATATATCTGTCCAGATACATATCTGTCTTTTTTCATTTACTCCTTGGGCCTTTGTTCTCTCAAGGTATTAATAAGTTGTTTTATACAACAGGACAAGCAAGCCCAAGCAAGCATAATAAATACCTAAAGAACACAAATTTTTGCCAGCATGATTAGTCCATATTTAATTACTTTTAAATCACATCCTATCTCATTTCTCTATATCCAGAATCTATCAGAATCAAAGGGTTGTTTCTCTCTCAATGGAGTGGAGAACCAAGACTATTTCTTTAATTTTAGTGATATCCCTTTCTAATTGAGTTTACAGTTTAATAGCTCGTGTTGATAAGAGTGTAAACATCACCTTGAGCTATGATCATGAGGTCAAGAGCAATTTGATTCTGCCACAACAGAAATGAGATGATACTTTTATTTGTGGAGATCCAGGGTGTCACTTTTTGCAATAAAGCTTTACTTTGGTATTCCAGATACATGAACATGACCTATTCTAGCCAGTGAAAAAAAAGAAAAAATGATATGCGTTGGTTTCAGGTGAAAGCTTTAAGAGCAGGTGTGAGTTCCAACACATTCTCTCTTTCCCTTTGAAGCAATGACAAGTAAAGTTCTACATATCTTTTTTAATCAAAGTATAGTTAATATACAATGTTATATTAGTTTCAGGTGTACTACATAGTGATTTGACATTTATATATCTTATGAAGTGATCACCACTATAAATCTAATAACCATCTATTACCATACAAAGTTATTGCAATATTATCGACTATATTCCTTATGCTGTACATTGTATCCCCATAATATTTATTTTATAACTGAAAGTTTGTACCTTTTAGTAATGCTGTATATTCCTTATGGTTACTATTCCATTAGTTTGAGACACAGAGTGAGGATGACACAGAGCAAAGTCTCCAGCTGATTTGAGATGAAAATATAGTATGAGTGGAAACTGAACCTTATTATATTAAGCTGTTGAAGTTTTGGGGTTATTTGTTAGCACAGCAAAACTTACCCTATCCTAATGAGTACAGTTAGCTAATGTTTTATTTAGGCCGTATGCAATAATATAAGTGAAAGGGTTCTGTAATTTTATTTTTCATATTATCCTACTTTTGAATCAAGACTAAATTAGCTATTTTGCTATATATAAATGTATTTGTTCAATCCACTATTTTAACTGGAAGTCTTCCCTAAGTCTTGTTAATAAAAATCAGGGTTCCGTTGCTATTATAGAAAAGTTTTTACTTGTTTTCTGTATCTGGAAATATTTCTTGAAAATGTGTTAATCTTGCCTATAAAACCATCTGGGTATTTGGGGAAAATGGTGGGAAGTCTTTGACTACCATTTTCAGTTGTTTTATTATTTATTGATCTACTTAAGTTCTCTTTCTTCCTTTGTCAATTTTGGCACTTTTTTTTTTTTTTTCTAGGACCACTCCACTAGGTTTTCAAAATTCTTAGCATATAATTATTCTTAATACAATTATTTTTAAATTGTGTCTCTAGTTTCTATAGTTATTTCTTCTGCGTTTTCATTTTTACTTTTGCTACCTATGCATTTTTTCTATAGATATTTTAAATTTTTTTAAAGAACCAATCTCTAGTTTTATTAATCTTTTATTCTCTGTCTTTTCTCTCTTGATTTCTGCTCTGTCTTCTTCA